ACATGCCCTATAGCAAAAACCCCTCAAAAAAAAAAAAAAAACTATCCTGCACTCTTCAAAAAATGTCAGCTCCATGGACAATACAGGAAGGCAGGGGACAGTTCTAGATGAAAGGAGACCGCAAAGGCAAGCCGAGGAAAGGAACTTGGGACACTGGAGGAACAATATGACTGAGTTCTCAAGAATACCTGTGGGATGCACATGAAACACAAACAAGGGGGATACTGGTGGTGCAGCTTGATGTGGCAGTGGGCGATGGGAGACAGGGCCCCACCCTGGCCCAGCCAGGCCCATGCCCATGCCTCACTTCTCCTCTGAGGCGGCCTGGCGCTCCATGCGCAGGGCAGCCTCCACACTCTGGTTCTGCATGCGCAGCTGGTCGACCTGTACGCTGTGCTGCTGCTCCAGTGCCTCCCGCTCGCTCTCCAGTTGCCTGGCCTGCTCGCTGGCTGCCCGGGCCCTGGCATGAGAAAGGGAGCAGGCTGAGGGCAGGAGACAGGTAGCAGGCAGGGAGCTCTGCTCAGGGGCCCAGTGGGCAATGATGGGCAAGAGATCTGGAAGCCAGGGAAAGGTGGCCCAAGAGGGTTTCTACAGGTGGGTGCTGGGAATTTGTGGGACAAGCCTCAACAGCTCATGCCATCTACTAATCCAGGCCTGAAGCACCCCCAGCTCCCTTAACCTCATTCCCAGGCTCTCACCTCATCATACTGCCACTGCTAGGCCTTCCACGGCCCCCACTATGAAGGTGATGGCAGAAGTTGCACTGTGCACCTGGGTGGCCTCCAGTTGCGGGTAGATGGGCTCTTCTTGAGCTAGCCCTGCCCTGCTCTGTCCTGCTCCTCCTGGCAGGCTGGGCTATCTGGCTATCTCCCCCATCCATACCTTTGCTCATGCTGGCCCCACCCTGCCTGCCTCTCTCTAGCCACAGGGGCCGAGTGGCACCCCCTCCCTTCTGCAGGAGGTGTCCCTGACCACTGTCCGAAGTGCATAGGGAGAGCTGGGCCATCCCAGAGCTCCACCAGGCTATCTAGAGGGCAGTAGGGGGCCAGGTGAGAACCACAGGAATGTCCCTGCCTTTGACCCAAAGATCCCACTATGTCCCTGCCCTTTGACCCAAAGATCCCACTAATGGAAATCAAAAACTCTTAGACAAAGAGAATGGAGAGTGGTGGCAGGCCTGAGACTGCTGGCTGGTGCAGCTAGCACATGGCTGGCACAGTTCCCTGAGCTACTCTGGCTCTCTCTGCTGATAAGGGGTACCTGCACCAGGGCTCTTGCATAAACTACATGCTTCAGGCCCAGCACCTGCTTTTCTGCTGAGAGGCATGGGTGTCCCTGGGCAGAAACATAGCCTATGTGCCCCTCAGGGGGTGGGGGACCATACTGGGGCCCTGGCTATCCACCTGGGCCCTTCCCTGTGATACGCTTCAGTGTGATGCCACTGTGTGCTGGGTCCTAAGAGGCCTTTCTAAGGCAATAATCCAAACTCTAGCAGAGAACCAGAGAGCCCAGCCAGACCAGCTGGGACCTAGGTCATGGGCATGTAGCCTAGAGACCCCTAGCAGTGGCCCCAGGGGCCTCAGAGTGTTCAACTTCTTGTGAGGGAAGCCCTGGGACCCCAACCCTACCCCATTTCTCCAAATCTCCAAGTGACCTCAGGCAACTCTCCCTAACACTCACCTGCCCTCCAAGGCCTGCCGCTCCTTGGTGGCAGCCTCCAGACGACTCTGGCTCTCCTGGAGCTCCCCCAGCAAGGATGTCACTTGTGCTTTCACTGAGGCCTTGTCCTCGGCCATCTGCTGCAGAAAACAGGCCACATCCTATCAGTACTACCTGCCCCTCGGTTGCTCTTCCTGGATCTCCAAGTCCCAGGGCCAGCTGCAGTGCCCGAAGCTTGGGAGTCCAGTGGTCACCCACTCCTCCCTATCCATGACTCACAACCCAGCTGCCACTGAGCCACACAGCCCCCTTCCCCTGTCCCCCGCCATCTCCATCCTCCCCTCTGGAAGCAGCTATGAGTGAAAGGGGTTAAGTATCACCCATGCCTTAAGGTTGCCACCTAGTCCCTGCAGGTGGGGACTGTGGGCATTAAAGGCCACGTTCCTGGGATGCCCTGCCCTCTGTGAGTTTGTGGTATGGTATGAATGGGATGACACAGCAAAGGCTGCTGCCCTGGCACATGTCCTGCATGGGGGACCACGCACCTTCCATGTGAAGAACCTGAGTGGCCACAGGCAGGGTTTTCCTGAGAAACCAAGGGAACACAAGGTTGGGCTCCCAGCACCACAGAAATGCCCAGGCAGAGACTAAACTGGGCACAGGTCAGGCAAGAGTCACAGGGCATCTGCCAGTATTAACACACTGCTTTCCGAGGACGTACCAGCTGCAGGTCAGACAAACTGGTGCTAGGCCGTCCGCCAGGTAAGAGCCATGTCCTGTGAAAGGCATGCTGTCATGCCCATACCAGCTCTCCTTCAGTGTCTAGTACCAGAGCTCCAGTTTAGCTGGGGCGGGGGAAGGGTGTCTCAAAACAACTTCCCAAAATGGGGAAGAAGTGCCTTAAGCTGGGCACTCCAAGCAGTGAGGCACACAGGCTCTACAGCCCCAAAGGTGGGGAGCCTGGTTGCAGACAGTCCTCTACCACATCTCTTTGCTTACTCTCCCAGGCAGTTCCATCCCAGATCCTGAGAAGCCCAGTTCAGTCAGAAAGGCCTTAAAACACCCTCGTTCAGCAAGCACTAACCATGCTTTCTTTTGGGGGCTCAGTGCCACACAGGGCCACCTCACAGGCCGGGGCCACATCCTACATCTTCCACCTTTCCCCTGCCCAACATGTGGGAAAGGAGCCCCAAGCCCTGGAAAATCCTGGCCGAGAAGAGCCGGGTTACCCGCCAGGGCCCCTCCCGGCAGTCTATGCTACCTATGGGACTTATGGAGGGGCCTCAGGCCACTGCTGGGGCTGGATGAGCAACTAATGTAGGCACATGGGGCGCTCCGTGCCTACAGTCCACCCAGTAACCTGCCCAGTAAAAAGCTCCCAGTAAAAGGCTGGCAACCCTGGCAAGGCTCGCTCCCTGCACCCTGTCCTGCGCTGCTGCCGTTGCGGGGAGACGCAGGTGCCATCTGCCTGGGAGCTCTGGCCTGGCCTCTCCTGGGCCCCACCTTGCGCGTCTTCCACCTTCGCTGATTTGAACTGTGCGTTTCTCCGTGCCCAGAGGGAAGCGGGAACCTGACATCTGCTCTGAGTTCTGGGAGTCCACCCAGGCGCCACCAAGCCTGAGGGTGCTCTTGGGGACCCCCTAGCATAGGTTCCCTCTGGGAACGCTGGTGTCCCTGTGGGTTTTCATATGCTTGTGCCTCTAGCTCACCTGCCTCTTCCACCCCAGTTCCACTACCTGCTGGCTTCTCTTCAGGTGTTCCACCTCCTGCAGGGCCTGTTCCTTCTGCCTCTTCAGGTCAAGCTTCTCCAGGCTCAGTCTCTCCACTAGCCTCCTGGCCTCCTGGAACTTCTGCATGAGGAACTCCTTCTCCTCCCGCTGGATGACCTGGAAACGAAGCAGCTCCTCACAGCGCTCCCGCAGCATCTGGTTGCTCTGCCGGATGGCATCTGGGACAGAGGAGATAGGAATAGGCAAGAGGAGGTAAACCCCACACAGTGCCATGCAGCCTCTTGCCAAGACACTTTCTTGTATTTCTCTGAACAAATCCTAAACCAGTTACACTAATGATATGCCCCTAAGTGTCTCCAATCTCCAAAATCTTTTTTTTGTTTTTGTCAGAAGGTGCATGTGCTAGGCAGAGATGAGGCAGAGTGTGGGGAATAAGAAAGCCCAGGGATGGGACCAGCAGTTAGCGTAATGGCTATGTCGCTGGACTCCCACGTAGTCGACCGCGGTTCAAGTCCCGGACCTGGTGGCTTAAACTCACGCCGGGCGCGTGTGCGTGCGTGCCCAAGATCCCGAGAGGAGAAGGGATTGCGGCGTGGCCATCCCCCCTGGGGGGTGATTTCCTGCTTTCTATCTCTCTGTCTCTCTCTGTCTGTCTGTCTGGCGAGCACACACGCCCTATAGCAAAAACCTCTCCAAAAAAGAAAGCCCAGGGAGTATGGCCATGCAGCAATCCCTTCTCCTTCATCTCTCCTACTCCTACCTTTTGGGATTTGGGGCACACACGCACATGCACCCAGTGTGTATCTCAAGCCACCAGGTCTGTAGTTCAGGTCTGAACCACACAGTCAGCCACGTGGAATCCAGCTGCCTTCACCATCACACCACGGTCAGGCCCATCCTAGAAAATGCTAAACTAACATCAGCTTCGCTTGACAGTACGTGGCATAATGGGACCAGCAGATGGCGTAATGGCTACATCACTGGAATCCCATGTACACCACAGTTTGAGGCCTGGACCCAGGAGCTTAAAACTCACACCGGAAGGGACAGCAGATGGTGTAATGGCTACGTTGCTGGACTCCCATGTAGTCAACTGCGGTTCAAG